CTTATAAACCCTGAACCCTAGACCCTCAGCATCTTAGAGGTTGCAGCCGCAAGCTCCCCAGAGCTGAAACCCTAAACCCTAAAAATTGAACCCTAAACCCTAAAAATTCAACCCTAAACCTTAAACCCCAAACCGTGAACCCTAAACCCTAAACCCTAAACCCTAAACCCTAAACTCTAAACTTAAACCTTAAACCCTAAACCTTAAACCTGAAAAATTCAACCCTAAACCTTAAACCCTAAACCTTAAACCCTAAACCTTAAACCCTAAACCCTAAACTCTAAACTTAAACCTTAAACCCTAAACCTTAAACCCTAAATTCTCAGAGCCTCACAGCCCTGCGCCTCAAACCGAGATCCTTGCTATCACCCCTAATGCTCCAAAGGAACCAAGAATTCGTGGTTCTGTAAGGGTTCGGGAAGGGATTTGTAGGGTTTTAAAGGGGTTTTAAGGATCCAGAAAAACACCAATGGTCCAAAGGAACAAAGAATTAGATACTTGGGTTTGGGATAGAAGTTATGCAGGTTAATATTTGGGAGAGTATACGACTATGGGTGAGGGCATTTAAAGTTACCATATAGGCACAAAAATCGACCCTACTAACCCTAATCTGTCTTAACCTGTGCAGAAGCCCCTAGACCCTAAACCCTAAAGACCACAAAAGCCCCGAAAATCCTAAACCCTAAAGCCCACAAAAGCCCCTAAACCCTAAACCGTAAAGCGGCAAAAGCCCTTAAACCCAAACCCTGGAAATAGAACATTTCCCTGCGGGCCTTTCGTGATGGGCAGCCCCTTTCCAAGCAGCTCCTGCAATGGTTTCAATCGCTGACTTTTAACCTATCAGGAGAGACACGCTAGCCCTAAACCCTGAACCCTAAATCCCTAAACCCTAAACCCTAAACCAACCCTAAATTCCCAAACTGCTCTAAACCCTGACCTTTTGTTGGGGTTTTGGCTTTGGGGCTTATGAGGTGTAATATAGGGGCCTACATAATTACCAGTAGCATTTTGGGGGGGGGTTCTTATTCTAATTGTAGCATAATGGGCCCCAAAACCCTGCTCTAATCATTGAGGCCCCTATACTAGGGTGTTGAATGTAGGACTCTTGTTTTGGAATTGCGGTTTGACCCGGCTCGGGTGCAGGAGAATGAGATTCTGGGTTTGGGGTTCAGAGGCTCTAAGCGTAATGGAGGGGCCCTAATAATTAGAATAGGGTTTTGGAGCCCTTTGCACTATACTTATTATAAGGAACCCCCAAAATAGTATAGGTAATTAATTATTTAGGCTTCTATATTAGGGGGTCTACGCTAAGGATTTCTGATTTAGCCCCAACCTTGAACACTAAGCCCTACTGTAAACCGTGGCTCAGGCTTTAGATGGGTTAGGGGTGACGAGATTCGGTTCCTACATCATCAGCACTGCCGAGACTCCGAAATCCCTTACCCTAAACCCTAAACCCTAAACCCACACCTTCCCTGAAAGTACAAAGCGATCCTGGGTTCTACATGGATTTCGGGCTTGGATGGGTTCAGGGTCTAGAGTCTAGGTGTCAGGCTTCAGGGCTTAGAGTTCGTATAGGGATACTTTGAAGCTTCCGTCGGGCTTAGGGTTTAGGGTTTAGGGTTTAGGGTTTAGGGTTTAGGGTTTAGGGTTTAGGGTTTAGGGTTCTGATTTTGGGTTGCGGATAAGGATATAGAACTGATGGGTCCGAGTCTTGACAGCTGAGACTGAACCCTAAACCCCTAAACTCCCAATTCATACGTATGTAAACCTCTTCGGCTCTTGCGCCACTAAAGGACGAACACCCCCGCCTCTACCGGAAGCAAATAAGCCTCATGCCTCTCGAAGTTCACGCGTAATATAGGGCCCGAATAACTAGAATAAGGTGTTGTGTAGACGTTGTTCGAATTTCAAGCAGACTACGTAGAAATCATACTAATCAATCAGAGAGACCTCTATACGGAAGTAAGTTGGACCCAGCAGAACTCGCAGAGAAAATAACCCAAGCGGTGTTTCTAAGATGACGGGGTCCAACCTTTTCGGCCGAAACGGGACTGTGTGAACGCTAAACCCTAAACCCTCCACCCTAAACCTTACAAACCTACAAACCCGATCCTGCCAGCTGGTGACCCTAAACGCGAGACCGTAAGCCCTACCGTGAACTGCCAAAACCTACTTTGCTGTAGGGTCCTTATGAATTCAGTATTGGGGTATTTGGTAAGAACATCCAAAAGTAGGTTGTGGTAGTTTAAGGTAGCACCTAAACCCTAAACCCTGAACCCTAAACCCTAAACCCTAAACCCTGAACCCTGAAGGCCTGCAAGCTGATACGCCCAAGCAGGACGCCATGCCCGGTGACATAGGCGCAGTCCTGCGGCAGTATCTCCTATGCTGCTACTATCCAACGTGGCTTGCCCTTGCCAGCACCTAAACCCGAAACCTTAACCCTAAACCCTAAACCCAAAACCCAAAACCCTAAAACCCAGCCCCTAAACCCTGACGAGTCGTTGAGGGATCAGGGCTCACATTTTCCACCAACCTTCAAACCGACGCGCGGCGATGATGAGAATACGACCACGCGAGCCAAAACCCTCTAGGGTTTAGGGAGACGTTCATACTCAGAAGATTACTGATGTTTCTTGACTACTCTTTTCGCCATGGTTTAGGGCTTAGGATTTAGGGTTAGAGTTCGAGGTCCAACTCGGTCTGGTTTTTGGGAACTGCGACAGGCTGCGGGATGATGATATTTCAAAATCCAGTATAGGGACTTGGGGCTTAAGGGTTTAGGGCTTAAGGGGTTGAGGGTTTGGAGTTTAGGGTTTAGGGTTTAAGGGTTTAGGGTTTAAAGCTTAGGGTTTAGGGTTGTGACAGGCAAAATCTCGCCATCATGTCATTGGCTCCTGAACACCTTTGCACGACGGCCCGCAAATAAGAGCAGCTTCTGTGCCGCTTCACAGGATGCCGGCGTAATGACTGTAAAGGGCCCGATATGCTGTTGATGGTATACATCCTGCATTACCTGAAGGACCCTCAGCTATGGGAAATATGGTATATTCCTGATTATGGGTAATGCAGGTAATACATATATATATATATATATATATTATATATATATATATGTCATCATCATCATCATCATCATCAGCATCATCATCATCATCAACCGTACTGTATGTGATTGTTCAGAGTTTGAGGCTATCCTTGAAGATCCTGCAAGCCCGCATGCTCTAGATGTCAACGTCGTAGACGACACCTGCAGCGCCCAATATCTCAGTAGTGCAAGGGCCTTAATAACTAGAGTAGGGTTTCGGGGTATACCATACGATAATAATAATGAGCCCCAACTTGTGTAGGTAATTATTTAGGCCCCTATATTACAACTTGAGCACCAGACGCTGAAACTCAGCCGTGATATCGAGTCCTTCTTCATGACCTGGCAGCCGCATGGTAGAACGCTATTGGAAAGTCCACAGCAAAAAGAGCCACATAAACATCAGGATCCCATGTGGATTGCAAGGCTCCTTTACGTCGGTTCCACAGTGCCTCTATAATTTTGTAGAATCCGGGGCCTAAACAATTACAACATTGTTCTGGGGCAGATGATGGTATAAAACCCTAGATGTACTTTGGCTTCTGTGTTAGTTGCCAAGCTTTGTCTCCCAGCTTCATTGTGACGTAAGGCGCAAACTCAGGGGCACAGCCGCGTCTCACGCTTCAAAAACCTACATAATGTAGAGGCCTTAATGATTAGAAACGGTTTTCGGGCTCCTTTACAGTATGACTACAACAAGGAGCCCCCAAGATAGTATTGATCAGTGCTCACCCTCCTATATTATTTAAGCTTCCGTCTTTGTGATTCTCTTATAGCACACACCGTCCTAACCCGAAGTCCTAAACCCTAAATCCTAAACCCTACAGTAGACCCTAAACCCTAAATCCCAAACCCTAGATCCTAAACCCTAAACCGTTCTCATCATCCTTAGGATCTAGACCCCCTGACTAATAAACACGGCTTCCTGAAGGGCCGTAAGATCAGGAAACCCTCTTACAAACCTGCTTTTGTAGGAGGAGTTCACCAATCAAACGGTCCACAGGAAGCCGCATGTTTCCAAACCCCAACGTCGAGAGCTACCATCTCTGTGGCACGGATCAAGCTCAAACGAATATACGTATCTTCAGAATGACAATAGGCCTTTGGGTCCTGTTGTCCTATAGTTAGGGGGACTGCACGCGGGATACTATTCATAATCACTCCCAAACCCATGTAAAGTCCTACAAAATCCTTTCAGGGTACAGTACTACAAATTATTCTTAACGCCTTATAATGTAGCCGAACTTTACCCCAAACCCTAAACACTAAACCCTCCCAGGACCCCCCAAGTTCCCTTTAAAGGGCTCTAACCTTTCTCATCAAGAGGTGGAAACGGGCTACAATAAAGGGTAGTTGGGGGGTCTAGGTGAACCGTTATACCCCAAGCCCTAAACCCTAAACCCTAAACCCCCCCGGTAACCCTAGAGCCTACACCCTTTGACCTTTATGTTGGAGGCTTTGGATTTTGGGAGATCTTGGAAATCCGGCACCTGGCCTTCAGCATCACGTAGAGCTCCTGTGCGGTGGCCAGCGGGTCCACCGACAGCGGAACGGGATCGGCAAGGAGATGATTATCTCCTCCGTTCAGGGTTGAGGGCTTAGGTTTCGGATTTTCTGCGATTTTGGCGGGCATTCGTGGTTGCGAAAGAGCTACCTGTTGAGCGGATCTCGTTCCCAATCTTGTCTCGTGGTTTTAGACGCAAACCGTCAACAAACCAAAGCTTTAGTTGCAATCTGGAAAGACGTCTTGTGTTGTCTGCTCATGTCCGCAGGTGCCGCACTCCTCGTCCCCAAAACACCTCGGTTGTTGGCCCTACGTGGCATAGTTCGGAACAGGGGACGAATTGAAGTAGTTGTAGTAAAGGGCTTGAGGCGGCCAAAGCCTGTCCGGATCTACAGTGACTACTCCGGCTATACGCTCCAAGCCCTGATCCCCTAAACCCTAAACCCAAAGCCCCTAAGCCCCTAAACCCCAAAGCCCTACACCCTGAACCTCTAAACCCTAAATCCTAAACCCCGAAACCCCTAAGCCCTAAACCCCTCACCCTGTCCTGGCCAGCGCATCTGCATCAGGTCCACCTGGCAGAGTGAGGCAGGCGGATGACTCCTTGAAACTGGTGTTTAGGTTTGGGGTTTAGGTATACGGCTTCGGGTTTAGGCTATTAGGGTTCTAGGGTTAAGTTTACTCTGAGTTTAGGGCTCCAAGATATCGGCAAAAGCCATTCATATATCCACACCGCAATGTCCTAACAACGAGCAACCTGTACCCGAATGAAGTAACACACCGTGAATTTCAACCCCTAAAACCCTAAACCCTAAACCTAAAACTCCCAGAACCCCAAACCCTAGAACCCTAGAACCCCAAAACCTATAACCAAAAACCCCAAACCCTAGACTGGGTTGTAGTTCTGGGACCCTGAAAGGTATTTATGAATAGGTACCTGTATAGGAACCATAGAGGAAACTTTAAGGCTTCCCAAAGTGCCACCTAGTAGAACCCTAAACCAACCCTAGAACCAAAAACCCTAAACCCTAGAACCAAAAACCCTAAACCCTAGAACCAAAAACCCTGAACCCTAGAACCCTAAACCCAAGAACCGTAGAGCCCTAGAACCGTAGAACCCAAAAACCCTAAACCCTAGAACCCTGGAACCCCTAGACCCTAGAACCCCCAGACCCTAGAACAAAAAGCCTGATCCCTAGAACCCTGAACCCTAAACCCTACAGTAAAGTAGACCCTAAACCCAAGAACCGCAGAACCCCAAACCCTAAACCCTAGAACCGTAGAACCCTGAACCCTAGACTGGGTTGTAGTTCTGGGGCCCTGAAAACCTAGTAGAACCCTAAACCCAAGAACCTTAGAACCCTAGAACCCTAAACCCTAAACCCAAGAACCCTAGAACCTAAACCCTAAACCCTGAAAACCCTAAACCCCTAGCTCTTCGGGGCCTCCTCATCGATCTGCTTTTCCTGCTTAGAGGGCTTGGTTTTTAGGCTTTTAGGGTTTGTTTTGTTTTTAGGGTTTTTAGGGTGTTTAGGTTTTTTTTGGTTTTACGGTCTTTAGGGTTTTGAGGGTTTAGGTTTTAAGGTTCAGGTTTTAGGTGCTTCGGGCTTTAGGGTTTAGGGTTTAGGGAGTTAGGGAGTTAGGGAGTTCGGGTGCTCAGATCAGCTGAACTTGTGACGTGGATTTCTCTGCTACACCACCACCAAAATTAGCTACCTACCACTGAACCCCTAAACGCTCCAAGCCCTACCTTAGCCTACCAAAACCTAATTTTTTCAGGGTCCCAATAAATTCCATATTGGGGTTTACATTAAGAACCTACAGAATTGTCGGCTACGGTTCCTAAACCCTCAACCGGGGTCTATAGGGTTCCTTTAAAGGGTTCTAGAAGGGTTTCTATATAGTATTTGGTGATTATTTAGGCCCCTATAGTATATGAATTTCCATGTCCTCATCACAGCTGTAAAGCGGGCCTTCTGGCCTTCCAACTCCCTTACACTTGGCAAAAATTATCCAGAAATTAGCATAGCAGCTTCTCGGCTGACTCACGTCACGGAATCCCGTACTTACCTTCGTGCTGGCAGTGGCTGGAGTTGAAGATGCAACGACTCTGGAATGATGCTGACGGACACAAAAATAGCCGCGCCCAGAGGTCATAACAGAACAAGCCCCACAGCACTGAGAGATGCTTTCCAGGGCCATTAACAAGCAAACGTTACGGCTTCGGGCCTCAAGGGCTTCTTTAGGAGTTAGGGTCTGAGGTTGAGGGTCCACGGCCCCTACTTCTCACACGCGGCCCGTGCTTTCCACCAACAAAACAATTCGGGCCCCTAAACCCTAAACCCTAAGCTTAAACAATACACTCCTAAAACCTAAACCCTAAACCCCTAAACCCAAAACCCAAAACCCAAAACCCTAAACCGTTGCTAGGGCAACTTTGAGATCTCATATTCAAGGCTCAGGGCCCAGGGGCCCTTAAGAATTAGAGTAGAGGTTTAGGGTTTAGGGTTTATAGGGTTTTGGGTTTTGGGTTTAGGCTGTAATTATCTTGCGGGCTAGAATGACTAGAAGGGAACAATACCGCGAATTCTTCAGGCCCCGATATTGAGTACAACATACTTGCGCGACGCGACGGTAGGCCTCCAGCTGTCGCCGAACCTCCTCCAAGGCCTGACGCGTGACAGCGCCAAGGAGGATGCCTGCAGAAAATTGTTGTAGGAGTTGGGATTCCGGGTTTAGGGTTTTAGCTTTGGGGTTGTGCGATTTCGTGCGGATTTCCTGTCTAGCCCTGCGATGCAGCGCTGCTCGCGTACAGGTTGTAGCGCAGAGCTCATGGCCCACATTTCGCTGTCGGCATGTCCTATACAACGGTAAAGGTCTGCGCGTTCACTGCCGAACTTTCACTAATTAGTACTTCAGGGATCCCCAAACACTAAACCCTAAACCTCCCCGGACCCTCCTCCCTGAAACCCTTGCAGGAACCCTGAGAGGGCCTCTTTCAAGGAATCCTTGAAGAAACCCCAGGAACCCACAATCAACCCAAAGAAAACCCCCTTCATCAACCTCAAAGAAACACCGAAGCCCAATAAACTTAACCTAAACCCTAACCTTAAACCCCTAAACCCTAAACCCTAAACCCTAAACCCTAAACCCTAAACCCTGAACCCTAAACCCTAAACCCTAACCCTAAATAGCAAACCTTAATCACTAAAGCCGCTAAACCCAAAGGACGTCCGAGCCGCCGTGATGTGGGTGGAGCTTTTGCAGGTGGGCGTCCCTGCGAACCACCGGAAAGCTGAACCTCGCTGGACGGTTTAGGGTTCCCTAAACCCTAAACCCTAAACCCTAAACCCTAAACCCTAAACCCTAAACCCTAAACCCTAAACCCCAATATGGGCTTCTCGAGGAGTACTGGGGTTGTAGGGTAACCCCTAAACCCTAAAACCCTAAAACCCTGAACCCGAAACCCTAAACCTGAACCAAAAGCCTTAAACCCTAAAACCCTAAAGCCGTAAACCCTAAACCCTAAACTCGAAACCCTAGAATCTAGGGTTTAGGGTTCTAGGGTTTAGAGTTTAGGGTTTAGGGTTTGGGGTGCTAGAGTTTCGGGTTTAGGGTTTAGGGTTCTGAGGTATAGGGTTCTAGGGGTTAGGGTTTCGGGTCTAGGCTTCTAGGTTCTGTGGTTGTAGGGTAAGAGTTATAGGGACTATAGGTTGTGAACCGCGATTTGAATGGCGTTTAAGGTCGTTTTGCTGAGCCAACCGATGCTTTTTATGGTTGGAGACTGTTAGGTTCGTTTACAGTTCCAGAGCTTGCAAGAGCATGTCAACCTCAGGTATACGGAGCTTGCAGCTTACAAGGGGGTCATGAAAGGTTCTACTAGGTTGCACACCGTAAACCCTTCATACTGGGCCTAACGCTTTTCGCCTGCTCGGGTCACTTTAGTCTGGACTCTTCAACATACTGTCATAGGAGGCACTAGCCCATGAAACCCATAAAGCCCTTAAACAAACCCCTCTCAAGCACCAATTAGAGGATCGCGGACTAGTAAGTAGGATAGAAGTAGGGTCATGGTTTTAGGGTGTGTGTGTGTGTAGTGCAGGTAAGGATAACCATGCATAGCCCACGTTAGCATGCTCATACTCTTAGTCTTAGGTACAGCTTAGCAAACGAACAATGTACACAAGTTGTTGTGTGGAGGCCTAACCCAAATTTTGAACCACTGAACAATACGTCCTCTGATCCGTTAGGCACGAAACCCGATAAAATTCTATAAGGCCCTTGTAAGACTCTGCAACGGCCCATAAAAGCGCTTCTAAGCCCTTCAAAAACTTTTGACGCCCTACCTTGTACATCTTATGAAAACTGACCTTTAAAAACTCCGAAACCCTGCAATGTAACCTTAAACCAAAGAACCCTAAACTCTTGACACTGTTTATTTTACAAGGACCCCTAAACTACAGATTAAGCCCTGAAAGGAAACCTAGAACCCATAAAGGAACCCCAAACCTTAAACCATGAATTTTAAACCCGAAGAAGGAACCCTAAACCCTAAACCCCCAAAAGGAACCTTAAAACCTCAAGTCAGTCGAATTGTCTGAGGTGCCGGCTGCTGCGGCTTCAAGGCCAAGGCTTCGCTAGCGCCGCGGCCTTCTTTTGGATTTAAGGATTTAGGGTTCTAGGTCTTGACGGTATTTGATTTTTTGGGTTCTGAACCCCCTAAACCCTAAACCCTAAACCCGGTTGGTGTTTTGGGTTTAATGTTTAGGGGTTGGGGTTTGGGCTTATTGGCTTGGGGCTTCCTTGGATTCTGGGTCGTTTTGGGGGGTTTGGGGGTTTAGAGTTTGGGATGGAGGGTTAACTTTTGGGCTTCTTTGCATTCTGGGTCTTTGGGGGGGTTTAGGGTTTAAGGTGGAGGCGTTGGGGTTTAGGCTTTAGGAGCTTGGATTCGGGGTTCTTTAGATTCTATTTCTTTGGGTTCAGGGTTCAGGGTTCAGGGTTTAGGGTTCAGGGTTTTGGGGTTGAGGGGGCTTCTTCGGGATCCTGTTCTTGCTTGTTAACTTTTACCTGAGTTGTCCAATACCCTAGCGGAACTACGGGTTAGCGGTTAGCCTTTGAGTGACAAAAAAAGTTTGTAAGTTATAGTACCCCCAAAAATGTTAAAGGCTACCTACTCTGCTACCAGGTTACTTTGTGAGTGATTTAGGCTTCTAGGTGCGAGGCTTTCCTGCATAGGGAATGCAAGACTTATGCATCAAGTCTTCAGGTGTTTGGGTTCGGGTACTTAAGGGCATCTGTCTCTTGATACCTTTGCGCGTTCAAAGCTAGGCTTAGACTCTTTGCCGTGATGGTTGATATAGGGGCCTTAGTAGGTTACCTATACTATTTTGGGGGCTCCTGAGAGTCATTATGGCGAAACCCCTATCTAGTCATTAAGGCCCCTACATTAGGTGTCTTTGATGAACAACATGAAGGCAGAGGCCAAGTCGCGTTCTCGATGTGCTGCTGGGTGCGGTTTAGCGTATGGGGCCCAATGCACGAATATACTGTAGCATACTACAGCCCGCTTTGGTGCTGTGGCACACTCCAGCAAACAGGATTCTATACACTACACGGTTCTTTGCTGACACGCTTGACATGCTTCGATATTGTACACTGATGTGCAATAGCGCTGAGTAATTTTTCTGGTTTCTTCAGATGTGACATCAGGAACATTCACGAAGCCCTACATAGGCCCCGAACAGTCAAGTCCTTGTTACAGAAAGTCCTAAATAACCACACCCCTTAAGATTGGTGGGGACCCTAAACCCAAAACCCCCTCCTGTCGAAAGCCCTAAACCCTAAATCTGAAACTCAGATCACCTAAACCCTAACTAAACCTTTAGAGTTCGGTTTACGGCCTAGCTAGGGTTTGGGTTAAACCCTAGCCCCTAAATCCTTTTCCGCCGAGATTCAGCTAATTCTCTCTTCCAGCGACGGAAACTCCGTGTACGCCTGGCCAGGTCAAACTTGTTCGCGAGGTCAGGTTTTAGGGCTTTACAGGGTTTAGGGTTTAGGGTCTCGTTTGAAGGGTTTATAAAGCTATCCTAAACCCTAAACCCTAAACCCTAAACCCTAAACCCTAAACCCTAAACCCTCAACCCTAAACCCTAAACCTATATAGAGGCTTCAGGTTGAGAGTCTAGCATTCGGGGCCTTTCGCTTTAGGATCCGGGGTATGGGTAAGGTTTGATTCGGCCCACCGGTTTGGGGAGCGGGAACAGCCTCCCCTGTGGAAGGGTTTTAGGGTTTAGGGTGTAG